AAGACAAAGTACATTGCAAAGAATTTGACAACACGAAATGATAAATTTAACACGCGAATTGCCTTTCTGGTAAGAACAAAATGCAAAATGTTTGTTTTAAAAACTTATCTGAGAAAAACAAAAAAAATTTTTTAGCAATTAATCCTGCATCAATGATTATTTCTTGTTTTTTGTTCGAAGTGGAGTACATATTTTTTTCTTCCAAAAACTGAGGTCCACAAAGTTTAATAGTAAACGGTTTTCATTCAAAAAAATAACCTTCAGTCAACATCTGTTTATTTTAGTTGTTGTACTCCTTCTTGTTCCTCAAAAATGTCGAGGAAGGGAACATTATTGGGCATCAAAAATCTTCGCTCTGACCATAAAAACTTGTCACCCGAAAAAAAATTTATTGGGATGATATTGCTAGTGTTTGAAATAATTTTTGTTGCTCATATTTTTTCTTCGTCTAAACGTGTTGTCGCCTTAATGTCCTGTTTGACTACCACCTCCTGAACCAAATGATTTTATCATTCGTTTTAATTCTGATTTTTGTAGACTTTTTTTGTTACATGAAGAGTCCACGCCTTATTTAAAACAAACTATAGTTGTCTTTGATTATGGACCAGCTGGATCAACAGCGTATTGCATCACTGAGTGGTGCAGTGAGTACTAAAATTGTTGACACTAGTAAGTTAGTCTTATAAGCAAATAAAAAAATTTCCGAGATCCGGCTGCTAAAAAACTTTTTTGAATCAAAATGAAGGTTTTGAGCAAAGGAAAGAATTACAACTAAAAAATGCAAAATCCAAAATGAGGAAAATCATATGAAAAGAAATTTTGGTGTGATTTAAAAAATCTAGTGGCACAAAAAAAATCATGTTTTGGTCCTGCCATTTACAAAAAGATTAAACACGAAACTCCAAAGCTTCCTTGATGTACCCATGTTTTCTTTTAAACCGTTCTGGCGCCGAAAAATGGCAAAAAATTGTTTGCAAGCTCACAAGAATGCTCACAGGCAATTTGAAGCCAGGATGTCTCAAGATTTTAAAATCAGACACATATTCTATACAAAGAGTTCATAGATATTACCTTGGTAGGCTCTGAACGGGATTTTGTTTCTTTTTTTCAATTTCAGTGTAATAATATTTTTGAAAAAAGTGTGTTTGTCGTTAAAGTGTGTCTATTATTGTGTAAGTGAGTTTCTTGCAGAAATTGCACGTGAGCTCGCCAGCAATTTTGTGCCATTAGGCTGCGCCAGATCGGCTTAAAATCACATGGGTACATCAAGGAAGCTTTTACCTACTAGCAACCAGAAAATTGATCTTGAAAAGAATCAAACTGAACATTTTAACAAAAATGTTACAAATGTAGATTTTGGATAAAAAAGCTTCAAAAACGCATTTACAAAGCTGCAAGTTTTAAGAAAAAAACTCTGAATCATTTTAAAGAACTATAGCAAAAAATCAAAAAAAAAGTTCTCGATAGTTATACTTTATAACGAGAGCAATCAAGCAGATCCCCCAATTTTCAACTAACCGTTTGTTTTTCGATTGTCTTGGACAATCCATGCAATTGGTTTCAATTACAATGACGTGAGAAAAAAATTTTCACTGTCAAACAAAATCTAAACAATGCACAAGCATAGGTTCGAACCAACCTTTGCTACAGTAGATAAATTTCTCTCCTAAAAACCGTCTTATGCGCTGAGTTGTCCCTTTAAACGATAGCTAAAACTTTATTTGAGTCAAAGCAAGCAGTGTGTAGCAAGTAAATTATAGTTTGTTATGTATTTTTATCATCAACTCAAACCAGTAGAACACAAAAACTGACCGACACTCAAATGACCTTGTAATTACACTTTATTCAAACACGAAAGATTTGCACGCCGACTGTTTTGAACGAAACTTTGCAACGAAAAAAAAGCTAACAAAAATACTCAGATTAAACAACAAACTTGACAATTTTTCGCAAAAGATTCAAAAAATTATTCCACACAGTTGATCAGTTGAGACAGTTGATCAAAGCCCCAAAATTCACATTGATGAAGAGTAAATTTTTGAACACAGATTGATGTTATTGGAAAAAAGCTCACAAAATTTTGCGGCGGTTTCTTATCGGTTGCGAAAACATCTCTTGAAGATGAACTTGTAACAACTATTTCAACTTTTGTGCCCGCTGTATTACAAAGTGTTTGCTGGTTTGACTGACGCATCAACAAAAAACCAAAACAGGTTTTCTGAATAAAAAAGTGAAGCTAATGAACTGGTCGAAAACAAAATGTTATAATTAGTATTTACAATTTTTTTTATTTTATGATTATTATGATTTTGATTTATATTTGATAGTGATTATTTTAATTTGAGAGGTTTATATGAAATAGCTGAAGCAAACGCACCCTGCGCCATCGTCCCTTCCCGATTTTTAGGTTCTTCGAAACAAAAAGACAAATAAAATTTTACGTACATGAGCAGAGAACAATTATTAGCCTGTGATTAGTTACAGAAAATTAACAGACAGTCAATATTCAAGAATTTAGATTATTCGATGGTCGTTCTGAATGATTCTTAGATGTTTTGATCCAAGTCTTTATAAACGTTGATCTCAGACGTTTTGATCCTTGCTCTTTATCACCCTTAAACATTAGGCCTAATGTTAAATTGATGTTATTCATTTGATATATAAAATAAGCATGCAAAGTGTTTTTTGTTGTAGAAAGACACTAAAACTAGCAAATTGGAATCGATGTCGAAAGCAATCATATTTTTTTATGTCTTAGAAATCGGAAACAGATTTCTTGAGCTTTTGACAAAATTGAAGCAAATCAAAATTCACAAAAAAAATTTTGGTTAACGCTTTTTCATAAGTGGATCTAACTTAGTGCCAGACTAAAAAACGACTAAAATGTTTTTGATCAGCATACTTTTATAGAATTAAGATAAATTCTTCTTTTATTTTTCAATAAAATGTTTCTCTGTTTCAAAATACATTTCTACACCTACATATTTGAGTAACACTTAATCAGATTTCCCCAAATCAGATTTCCATTGTATCTACTAGATTCTATTTCCATTTAAAAGTGCTGCTCAGTGCGACTAAAAATGGTTTAAAAAGTTGAAAACCTTCATTCATCAGTATAACCCTAAGATAAATCATACTTGAAAATTTTTTGATTATTTTTCTGTTTAAAAATGCATTTCACTTAACTTAAATTTTCAGGTAGCCTTTAATCACAAAAAGGCAGTTTTTTTGACGACTGATCACTTAGCGGTTTCAAAAACGAACGGGCCGCTTCTCCCCATTGAAAATATTGTTATAACACTTTCGCTTTTGAGGTGTACTTTTAATTTTAGGACTCCAAATTATGGTTATATCTGTTAGCTTAAATCTCAGTTATTTTTTTTCCAGTTCGCATAAGGGCATGGAATTAAACATAAACTAATCTTTTAATGTGGCCAATTATCATTTTAAATGCATCTCCAGTTGCTCTCTTTCGTATAAATGACCCGTTTTTTTGAATTACATCATATTTCATCAACTACAAAACTAATGTTAGTATTTAATAAAGAGTATTTAAAGTGTTTGTATTTATTTTCTAGAGCTAAGTTTCAGCCATGCGTTCTCCTCAACCGGCATTCACAATAAAACGACAATTTGGTTTGTCTAACTGATTTTAACTTTGCTGAAAAATTTACAACCACTGATTTTGGGTTAATAGCGCACCCGCATTACAAGGCCAAACTGTGCACTGGATAGGCGCCTAACTTTTTGTTTATAGGTCTCTGGAATCAAGAGACAAGTTTTTAAACCGGTTAAAATTTTGTCGAACAATCAAAGAAAACGAAAGAACAAAGGAAGAACGAAGAGAGCGGCCTTGTTGCGGAATCTGCTTACAATACACAAAACACACATTTTCGAACCTTTTCGCAAAGTCGCAACATACGCAAAACACAATATAGATTGCGCAAAGTCACAATATGGGTCAGGCAAAGTCGCAATATGGGTCCCAAATTGGATAAATCCACGCTAACAAATCTAGGAACGTGTAAGTAGATGCAGAAACAGGTAAACAGATGCAGTGTTTTTTTTTTCTTTTTTAGAAAATATTTCTAAAATCTTACCATCAATCATTTCAGGCTTTTTAAATGACATGCGTAACAAACGGGTATCTACCCTGATGTAAGCACTCTTGTTTTTAATTTGAGTATATCTTAAAAAAGTTCTACAAAAAATAAGAAAAAAGCTTAATGCATTCATTAATCTTGAACAGATAATTTACTTTCGAGCATTTTTTTTGCAAAAGTATGAAAGTTTGAAATTTATCAATTTAATCATGCTCTGGTCTAAATCAAGCGCGATGCGAAGGTTTTATTTTTGATGCTGAAACCGTAACGCGATTTACATCCCGCACTACGAAACCAACCTAAATTGAACTGACGCAAGCTATAATGGTCATAATAATTTCGTTTCGATTTTTTTTTCAATTTTTACAATTCGCCTAATTTTTTTTACAAAATCAATTCGGCAGATTATGGGGCAGTCGGAACGTTCAAGGTTTTGCATTAATAGACGAGCAGTCTTGTTCAAATTACATCTGGGAAAACAGTTTTGAGGCATTTTTCTTTTTTTCCGGTTTTTTTTACACTAGAAATCCTGCACTGCATACGGTAAATGAAACATTCTGTGATTTTAGTTGATCTGATTCTCAATTTATTTCCTGAAAATTTAAATAAATCATCTGAAACAAAGTTGCTCTCCAATTTTTACACTTTGTGAATTTTCTTCACAAAAATAATTCGACAGATTAAAGGGCAGTCGGAACGTTCAGGGTTTTGCCCTGATATACGAGCAGCCTTGTTCAAATTACACATAGTAAAACCGTGTTGAGGCCTTTTTTCCCCGGGTTTTTACACTAAAAATCCAGCATTGTATGCGGTAAATGAAACAATCTGTGATTTTAGTTGACCTGAATCTCAATTTTTTTCCTGAAAATTTAAATAGATCATCTGAAACAAAGTTGCTCTTGGTGAAATATATCAAAATTCTTCATATCGGGTTATTTTGCAACATTCATCGAATTAAATTAAATAGATTTTAGTTTGAAAAGCAGGGAAGCTTTCTTCTGCTGATGATGACTGTATAAAGTATATGACGATTTTCAGTCTCTGGGATCTTTTGTTACTGGGTGCAAATGCTAGGTCTAACTGGCTCGCACAGTTCGGCGCAGAGAAGTTGCACAAAACCAGAGGGGTCCAGACCCATCGACTGCACTGTAGAGTTGGAATTCTGAAAAAAGTATATATTATATGGAGATCGTAAGACTAAGATTAATGGTAGCCAAGCAAAGAAAACTTCCTTTCAATTTTTTGTACCAATAAGAATGTTTAGAAGAAAAAATTTTTTTATCGAGAGGATCAATTTGCCAAATTGAAAGTTTTAAATGAACCAATTATTAGTGACCTTTATGGCTTATTCTAAATATCACTGATTCAATCAAATTCAGATTTAAAGCTTATACTCCAAATATCAGAAACAAATTTTTTTCTACTTTCGTCATTTTTAACTATCAAATTTCGAAGCAAAAGATATCACATTAAAGCTCTGTGACTTTCAAGAAACTTTCGCACTTTTTCTTAAAGTTATCCCATTTAAAGAAAATACATCAATAGGTAGTTTTTATTATTTTGCTCGGAATTCAGTTGAAAATTAGAATCCATTTTGAAACTAGAAGTAATTCTTTACACTTTTGCTGCTTGGAATTTGCCCTCTTTTTAACAAAAGAAATGATGTAAAGTTAAAAGAAATCAAAAGAAAACCGCAAAAAAATCAAAAGTCAACTTGAAAGAAGTTTAGCATTTTTTCCTGAAAAAAAAAATGAAAAAAAAAACCATCACGACCTAAATAAATAATAACAGCTCAAATAAATAATAACAGCGACCTAAATAAATAATAACAGCTCAAATAATAACAGCTCAAAACTTTTTTGTTCAAATGTTGGAATCTAACAAGCTAACTGTCGAAAAAAAAATGTATGATTTCATAAAATTTGTTTAGATTAATCCAACTTATTTCCCATTGATGTTCAGAAACTCAAGGGCATTATCTGACGACCCGAGGGTCCTTTAAGTGTTGCTCCCGTTCAATGTTGACTTAAAAATGTGTCGAATTTAGATGAAGTGTGTTTATCAGAAATGTGTTTATATTGGATCAGAGAAATTAATTCTTTCTCTTTTACACTTAATCAGTTATGCCAATGTGGTTTCAACCGAGAAAAAGTGGCTCTTTTTCCTTCCCCCCACCTCGCATATAAGCATGGATTTCAAGGTGTAACGACTGGTTTTACAATTTTGAGTATGAAGACTAAATATATTTGTCATGGCTCAATTAGTCCCTATGCCAAATTTTATAACAACCCGACAATGTGAACAGAAAAATTACTCTAAAAAAATTGCAGGTGGTGGGAAAAGGAAAACTAAAAGCCGAAAAAAATTCAAGCAACAAAAATTGAATGAAAAATACCAACTTTGTTCAATTCGAGCCAGGGTATGAAAGTGTGTCTATTGAACTCGGCCATCAGCTCCATATTCACCAAGTCAATACCTCCATCCTCGCCCGAATAGCAGCTATAGATCATGTCGTAGTCTATTCTGTTCACTGTGCTGCAGTACAGCCAGCTGTCGTAGGTCGCCTGGATACTTCCTCCTGTTCCCATCATACACGTTACTAGGTCCACGTACGCCTCATTCGTCAGCAGGTTGTACGCGCAGGCCTACAAAATATGAATTATATTTCAAAAGATTTAAGACCATTTATCCACGAGGGAAAGGACCAACATACGAGCAGTACAGCTCATCATGGCGAGCCGCTGTTGTACCCCTGTTAAAGAAATACCGGCAATTTTTTTTGTTTGTTTTCTGGGCTGGGTTTTAAAGTTTACCACCGCTTCCCAAAAATCACGGAGATTGGTATTCATTTAAAAATCAACATATGAAACGTTTAAAAGGATCTTGAAATCAAGTTTTTGTGTGAGTAAGTTTTCTACACCGGATTTTCAACTGCTGTCGATTTTAACAAGGAACTGTGTATCACAGAATGTTCCGACCATAGTCCTAAAAATTCTGAACATCTGAACAAAAAAATATAAATTAGACATATTCGACTTTATTAGTAAAATAGGCCGATTAGAAAACAGTTTCTGTAGCAAAAAAAATTTAAACAAAAAACGGTTTAATTTTTTCAAAAATTTTAATTTTCGAAGTTTTTGATGAGCAAAATGACGCTTAAAGCTCCAAAAACTAACTTTACTCGCATGAAACTAAGTTTTCTTGGCTTCAATGAAGAATAAATAAGCTATTGTAAGACTGGATGCTCACCTTATTAGCTCGAAGCTAAAGCAAAACTTCAAACCGGTTTTTCAAAGAGCTTTAAAACGATATATCACTCAATCCAGTCCGATGATTTATTGTGGTACCTAATTTTGCGTGGCAAACAAAAAAGAAGAAAAAAACTAAAACGAATAAAAAGTTCCTCCCCATTTTTCAAATGGTCGGAATAAAAACATCAAACGTCAACCTCGATAACTGATTTAAATTTATTGTATAAGAATGGGTATAAGTAAAATGGGGTATAAGTAAAGTTTGAAACAATTTAATTGTACTGTTTGTTATAAAAAAGATTGATGTGCTCAAAGTTTTTTATCGACTAATCCGCTGCAGAATATAAATATAAAAATAAAAAACAAATGAGAAAACATAATATTCTTTCTTTTAAACTGTCAAAATGTAATGCAAAAAAAATAATAATATTTATTGAACTTTTCTTTTAGGGCTTCTATGTTTTCTGAACAAGGTCTATTTTTTATCTGAATCGCTTCATAGGTTTCTTATTCGGCCGTCGACTGTTCTTTAAATCGATCAGCGACTGCGATGACCTTTTGATATCTTTTCGAGTCGGTATGTCGTCATCCGAAGCGTCGTCTTCTTCCGACGGATGGTAAGTCGCAGACTGATAGGGACCGACCCGAGTATTTGTCGGCGTCATTTTTTCTTGGACAGTTTTGTTGAAATCTGATTCTTCCATTTCTCGCAACACTTGTCGGGTGTCAGTATCTTCACCGATTTCACTGTAGATACTTTTAATTGTGTCTCTCACATTTTCCAACGATTCAGCTATACTGTCAACTTCGTGGTTTCGACCCGGCAACGATTGCTTTTGCGGCCTGTTTGATTTGAGACGACTTTGCCCTCCCTTTGCGGTGGACAATTTCTCTCGAATATGATCTACAGAATTTCGGATATCGCGTTGCGTCTCCCGGTTTTGAGAAAACCGACGTTCGGCGTCCGAGATCCGAGCCTTGTCAAAGTCGTAGTTTTCATCACTGTATTCGTCTTCCGAGCCAACTACACTTACTCTATTGGAAGCCATATCGTCCATGTATCTCAATTCTTCATAAGTATCCCGCAAACTCTGTTTTCTGCTTCTCATATCGTTGATGTCTTCAGAGTTTTTATCAATTTGGCTTTCGAGGGCGTCTTTGGTATCGTACTGACTCTTGAAATGATTGATCGCATCTTCATTTGAATACAAACCAGTTTTGTCTTTCACTCTTTGATTCACTTTTTCAATGTTGCTTAGCCTCTGTTCGGTTTCCTCGGCTTTCGTCCAGTTGGTCTTTTTCCGCTCTTCCAAATCCTCGTCAAAGTGATTTGCACCTGCTCGTTGTTCTTCCTGAACCAATCCTTCTAGGTGCTCTAATTCGCTTTCCCGTTTATCCGAAACTCTCTTTAAGTTACTTTTCTGTTTTTCGCGTATTTTCTTCGCTCCCTGAGCTTTCTGGTCTTGCATTTGCAAGTCCATTTTTGCGAATTCCTTCGACTGTTCGGCGTCTCGATGCAAGTCCTGCAAACCTCTCAATTCGTCTTCATTTTCTTCTATTTGATTATCGAGGTCTTCCAAATTTGTTAAATACATTTTGTTTTCTTCTCGCAAACTCTGCACAATTTTGAAGAAAAAGTTCTGAACTTCGTCAACTTCGGTATTCCGAAGCTTATATTTTTCGATGTCGGTTTGAATCATTCGGTTCTTGGATTTCTGTGAAGTCGGCAACGCGTCTCGACGGTTTGACCTGTCGGCTATTTCGTGCAGTTTTTTCATCCTTTCAACCAGATCGCTTAGCTCTTTGTCCTTCTTTTTGGTCAAATACTGGGCATAATTCAGTTTCTTAATTTGGTCACACTTTTTATTGTGTAACTCATCTATAGTGTCATCAGGCTCTTTGTTTTTAAAAGCTTCTTTCTTCATGTCGTGACCTTTGAAGACCTTGTTTAATGTTTCGTCATCACAAGTAGTGCTTTTTCTGAATTTATTGGCCAGTTCTTTATTTTCAGCCCTCAAAGCACTTATTTTGGCATCGTTGCTCTTGGAAGTGAAATCGGAACTCTCGATGAAAGCCCGTCTGTCGCCCTCTATAAGTTGAATTTTGGCAACTAATTCTGCAATTTCCTCTCCAATTTCATCCTTATCTTGTTTACTTTTTGACTTTTTTTTCGATGCCATCTTCGATTTTTTAAATTTAGATACAAAAATGAGTTTAAACAATATTGATGGTGAATTCAAAAAATCCGAAGAAAAATTTCAAAATGTAGTTCTATACTTTTTCAAACGAAGAAAACGTAAAATATGGCTTGGGTTCTGGGATAACTTTTGACTTTCGGAGTCATCAAAAGTCAAAACATGGGTCATTTACGTTCAATGTTCCTGGCACGTCGGGTCAATTGAGAACCAATTGAGAAAAAAAGTTTCTGGAAAAATGTTGACTAACCATAAACATGTTGGAGCGCACTTCTTGCATTCCGTGTTGACTGGCAAAGGCATACTGTCCATATCCGAGGTTGAAGCTCTGAAAGCCAAATTACAAAATCACAAAAAATTATAGAATTTTTTTTCAAGTTTATTGAGAGGGTTAAAGACAGGGGCGGATCTAGGATTTTCTCGAGGAGGTGGGGATTTTTTGAGATCTTCCGTTTCGGCCAAATTTTCTGGGCCGCAGGCAAAATTTTGAAAAAACTGTCCACAAAAAGGCGTCTTTAGGCACTTTTTGGAAAATTTTGACCAGAAAATCGCGTTTTTTCGGCGCGCGCTCCCCCCTCAAAATTAGTATATATTGGCGCCAAAGTCGCCTTTAGAAAAATTTTAGGGTCGGTCGGCCAAAAATGGATTTCTTAAAAAGTACCAAAGGGGGACCCTTTGGGTCGGCAGGGGGTCGAATCCCTGCGGGTGAGAAGAAGCGTCCGCCCCCGCACCCTTAAATCCGCCCTGATTAAAGAAGACAACAATTTTGAGCCTGTTTTGAACCTCGGTTAATCTCATGTCAATAACTAATAGATATTTGACAAGTAAAGAAATGAGCGGTTTTTGAGCATTTTTTTAAGCAAGATTTGAGCGGTTTGAGCGGTTTTTCCAAAAAAACTGCCCAAACCGCTCAAACCGCTCAAATCTTGCTGAAAAACCGCTCAAACCGCTCATATCTTGAGCGGTTTTTGAGCGGGATTTCGACCCGGGTTTGTTACTCAATTTTTCAACATTAGCGCAATCCTTTTTTAATATTTCAAACAACTCAATAAATGCTGATCACTAAGTGTTCTGGTCACCAACTTTAGCGTTGCCCCATGGAATGAGGTCCAGCGACAACACTGGCGAGAAAGACTGGTACTGGGGTCTGAGCACACTCGAGAAGAAGTGATTCGAATCCGGACACCCTGCCTCAAAGAACACAGTCAGCTCCAAATTGTACGCACAAGTTTCATTGCCAAGCTTGAAAGGACCCTTCTTTATGACATCGGCCCCTGAAGATCCACTGATGTCCAGGAACACCTGAAAAGAAACAATCGCCTACACCTGCTACTGCGAAAATTATAATTTTCAAGCCAACAAAACTGATTAAATGAAAAATTAAAAACAAATACAAAAATTAATTTGAATCACGAACTAAAAATAATATCACTTTCACTAAACTTATTGGATCCAATTTAATGGAACAAACCCAACATAAAACAATTATGTAGATCTAGCGTCTTTTGGACATTTTCTCGTTGTCTCCATGTTCACTTAGTGAGTTCTGGCTAAAATTTTTCGGTGATAAATTATAAAGTTTGTCATCGAGATAATTTAACAAATTTTTAAAATTAGCTTAACTTAGTTAAATAGCTATAAAAATTCTCAAAGGCACTATACTATGATGGTTGTGAAACTTACCAAGAGAGCTGCAACTACACAAGAGAACATCATGGCTGGCAGAATGATTTGAGCTAAGTTGACTTTCAAGATAACACAGTTGGATGTTTGTTTAATTTCTCGCGGATATCCTAACAAAAGAGTGTTCATTCTAAACTTCGTCCAAAAACTTTTGTTCAGCCGCGTTTTTCGGCCAAACATAACGACACAAAGGCAACTCGTTTGCTATTGTTTTCACGACGTTTCCGCATTATTTCAGCTCCCTGTCAAGTTTTCGAAAGCTAGATGTAAAGTTGTTTAGTATACCATTAGTAATAGTATGTCAATATTTTCTGGAAAAACAGCAGTAAATCTTTGAATTCGGAAATTAACATATGCAAAAAAAAATGTTCGCTTATCGTTTCATTTTGTGTTAATATTACATTGGCGGCGATGGACAAAACAATACACAAATTGATAACTGTTTTTTAATACATGTTGAAATGTACGAGTACACGATGCTGTGCATACTTTGCACGGCTTTTAAAATAATGTATATTTAAAAACGGTATCAAGAGGCAGCTTCAATACAAAAATATCGCTCTATTTTCCACCATCAAATGTCATAGTTTCAATCAACATGCCTACATTGGTGTGTTGCAATTAATATTGGCATTACTTTCTAGCAATCTTCCGTAAAAATTAGTCCAAAATCAGCTACGAGTAAAGGGAAAACGCGCTGAGCAAAAACTTAACATAGCGCGGTTCCAGATCCAAAGAAGGTGAAATTGTTGGATCATTTGCACATATCACCGTTTTTCAGTTTTCATTTCGTCCGAAAAACACAGATTACTATCTGACAGTAGCTTCCGAGGAGCACAATATCCAAGCAGCACCTTCCGAGTTATTATCGATGTTGCTGCTGTTTTTGAATTTTATGATCTGAGATTCTGATTCAATTTCTCAACTCAATAGTGATTACATGAAGGTATCTATAATTTTATTGCAAGTTTCAGCTCATTTTTTCCAGCCCTTAGCTAGTAAAACTGTAGCAATGAATCGCAAGCGCAAAATCATACAGTAATTTTGTAAAAAAAAAAATTACGAGGTTCTGAGTACACAAATCTTTGGAGTGTCTGGAACCCTGGAATTTGAAGACAAACCTTCAAACATAGTTGAAATTGTGATTGAAATCATTTTACCAAAAGGTTGAGGAACTTTCTAACAACAATTTGTAACATACATTTGTCACCACTTTAGTTTTCCCGTGTAATCTGCAATGAGCGATTAAAGCAGTTTGTTGCAGATTCCGTATTTGAAATTGCCTGGGTTGACCTCCATACACCGAAAATGCTTGTCATACAATTCCATACAACAAAACTTATTACCATAGAAATTCATACATCAAGTGTATGGAGAAAATGCTTGTCATACAATTTTCATACATTTTCGAAAAAGATTCCAAAAAAAAATTAAACCATTTCTGCGGCTTTTTGAGAACAGTTGAACAGACTGGTGGCAGAAAAAAAATGATTTAACTTTTTTTTGAAAAAAATGTTTACCATACAATTTCCATATACGGAAATTGTATGACTGGCATTTTTTGATGGCGACACAAAAAATTTGAAAAGTTGCCCCAAAATTATGTTTTTTTCAACCGCAAGTGGAGTTTTGTGCGCAAAAAACACTTTCGGAAAAAATTTCATTAGTCCTAAATACGGTAAAATTGTTTTTTTTTTCTTTCACTTAAAATTTTGTTATGAGAAACGCTGATAACTTTTATTTCTTTTGTATGGCGTATTTATGTATGCCTTAATCAATGTCTGATAATTTGAAAATCAAGACTTTAAAAAAATCGAATTTTGTACGCAAAAAAACACTTTCGGAAAAAATTTCATTAGTCCTAGATACGATAAAATTGTTTTTTTTTTCTTTTCACTTGAAATTTTTTTAGGAAAAACGCTGAAAATTCTTATTTCTTTTTTATGGCGTATTTATGTATGCCTTGATCAAAGTCTGATAATTTGAAAAATCAAGAATTTAAAATAATCATCCTTGAAAACATTTGCCAAAAAATAAAATTTGTTACTTTTGTTATATCATTTGTTGTGAAAGACAGCTGGAAGACAATTCAGGTCATTTTTTACGCATTGTAAATGTAAGACCGTCCAACTTTTGGTGCTTTGAGCAACCAAGGTCTTTGCCACTTGTGTTCGGTTGCAAACACAACCCAAAATTTTTCAGAAATTGAATTTAGAAGCAAAAAACAATTTTTTGGTATATGGAGAAAACACCTATTATACAATTTCCATTTATGGAAAAATGTTAATTTTCGAGATTTCATAAAAATTTTTGTACGTATGGAATTGTATGGATTTTTATGGAATTGTATGAAAAGAAATTTCCCATTTATGAGAACTGTATGTTAAGCAATTTTGATCAACCCGGGTGTATTAATAGTTTCCCACAAAAATGTCTTCAATTTGTTTGCTTAACTCGTTATTAAGTTCAATACATACATCCGGGGCCATTCTCATGCGCAACAGACCAAATGGGCAAAAACGCGTGGAACAAGGACTGAAAACAAGGTTAGCCAAATGTCATCTTTTAAAAAGAATCAATTGCCATTCAGTTAAAATGAATTAAATGAAGCAATGCTTTGCAACCTTCATAACGAAACCCTTGAAACACAAAATTTGAAAATTTGAAAAATTTGAAAATGTTGCATATTTCTTCCGTTTTTCTATTTGGCCTGTATCAATATGAAGTCCCTGGAAATGTTTTTTAACTTTCAGGTTTTCACGTTTTTTTCCAAATTTAGATAACTAAAATCTGCTAGGATTTTTTTCGCGCATTCGTTCCTTCGCATATGAGTGATGCCATCTTCCAATAACTTCTAGGTGGATGCAGCAAGCGTCAGTGGAGTCAGTCAATTTGCGCGGTTTCTGAAGACTTTTTCCCCATTATGCTTACAGAATGCGAATCCTGTTCACAAAACTCGGATTTCTTGTACAAAAAGCGGAATCTGCGACAACGGCAGCGACTGCCCGCATGAATAAATTTTAGTTTATAGATTCCACCAAGATCTTTGTTTTCCGCATTTTTCCCCGTCTCTGCCTTTTTGCTGATTTTGGATTTAATAGCTAAAAAATATTTTAATCACTTTTCTGTGGATTGCACATCGGCAAAAATCAAGTAAAAGTGGCCACGACTATACCGTTTTCAGCCTGTTGCGAAATCGACTAACAATTCAGAAACCCATTTTTTTGGTTTCTTAATAATTGTTGGTTCCTTCAAAAGGTTTTTTAAATGATTACAAGAAATTACAAATGCCAAGTAATTGTTACAAAATGGCAGTTCATGAACTTAAAAATTTTGGCTTAGAATTTTAAATGATTGCTGACGTTTTTTAAAAAAGAATAATTAACTTATTTTGTACAAAAATTTTGTACTAATTAGTACAAAAATATCGTTCTATTTTCCACCATCAAATGTCATAATTCCTACCAGGGGCGCGGATCTAGGATTTTCTCGGAGGGGGGGGGGGGGGGGTTCGGATTTTCAAAAAAATTTTCAGACGACCTTTTTTTTTAGGTCAACCAAATTTATTTTTCGAGCTCTCCCAAAGCACTGTTTTGACCCTATTTTTGGCAAAATTTTCTGCGCCGCAGGCTAATTTAAAAAAAAAAACAGTAAAAAAAGCCGTTTTTGGGCACTTTTTGAAAAATGTTGACAAAAAATTGCGTTTTTTTTGGCGCGCGCTCCCCCTCAAAAATAGTATTTATTGGCGCCAAAGGCGCCTTTAGAAAAATTTTAGGGTCGGTCGGCCAAAAATGGTTTTCTGAAAAAGTATCAAAGGGGGACCCTTTGGGTCGGCAGGGGGTCGAATCCCTGAGAGGATGGGCGTCCGCCCCCCCCGCCCCCCTAAATCCGCCCCTGATTCCTACATTGGTGTGTTGCAATTAATATTGGCATAACTTTCTAGCAATGTTCCATAAAAATAGCCCAAAATCAGCTACGAGTAAAGGGAAAACGCGCTGAGCAAAAACTTAACATAGCGCGGTTCCAGATCCAAAGAAGGTGAAATTGTTGGGTCATTTGCCCACATCACAGTTTTTCAGTTTTCGTTTCGTTCGAAATACACAGATTACTCTCTAATAGTAGCTTCCGAGGAGCACAATATCCAAGCAGCACTTTCCGAGTTATTTTCGATGTTTTTGCTGTTTTTGAATTTTATGATCTGAGATTCTGATTCAATTTTTCAAACTAAATAGTGATTACATGAAGGTATCCCTAATCTTATTGCAATTGTCCAGCCATTAGCTAGTAAAACTGTAGCAATGAATCACAAGCGCAAAATCATTCAGTAAATTTGTAAAAACACTACGAGGTTCTGAGTACACGCATCTTTGGAGTGTCTGGAACCCTGGAATTTGAAGACAAGCCTTCAAACATAGTTGAAATTGTGATTGAAATCATTTTACCAAAAGGTTGAGGAACTTTCTAACAACAATTTGTAACATACATTTGTCACCACTTTAGTTTTCCCGTGTAATTTGCAATGAGCGATTAAAGCAGTTTGTTGCAGATTCCGTATTTGAAATTGCCTGGGTTGACCTCCATACACCGAAAATGCTTGTCATACAATTCCATACAACAAAACTTATTACCATACAAATTCATACATCAAGTGTACAGAGAAAATGCTTGTCATACAATTTTCATACATTTTCGAAAAAGATTCGAAAAAAAAATTAAACCATTTCTGCGGCTTTTTGAGAACAGTTGAACAGACTGGTGGCAGAAAAAAAACTGATTTAACTTTTTTTTGAAAAAAATGTTTACCATACAATTTCCATATACGGAAATTGTATGACTGGCCGTTTTTGATGGCGACACAAAAAATTTGAAAGTTTGCCCCAAAATTATGTTTTTTTTCAACCGCAAGTGGAGTTTTGTGCGCAAAAAACACTTTCGGAAAAATTTTCATTAGTCCTAAATACGGTAAAATTGTTTTTTTTTCTTTCACTTAAAATTTTGTTATGAGAAACGCTGATAACTTTTATTTCTTTTGTATGGCGTATTTATGTATGCCTTAATCAATGTCTGATAATATGAAAATCAAGACTTTAAAAAAATTATATTTGAAAACATTTGCCAAAAATTTAAATTTGTTACTTTTGTTATATCATTTGTGAAAGACAGCTGGAAGACAATTCAGGTTGTTTTTTACGCATTGTAAAAGTAAGACCGTCCAACTTTTGGTGCTTTGAGCAATCAAGGTCTTTGCCACTTTTTTTTCGGTTGCAAACACAACCCAAAATGTTTCAGAAATCGAATTTAGAAGCAAAAAACTAACTTTTTGGTATATGGAGAAAACACCTATTATACAATTTCCATTTATGGGAAAATGTTAAGTTTCGAGATTTCATACAATTTTTTGTACGTATGGAATTGTATGGAATTGTATGAAAATTTTTTTTCCGTTTAT